ATGTACTTTGTTAAGTCCTTGGGTATAAGTATAGTATAGTATAGTATAAGCTAGTTTTCCTTATTTTACCTATTGATGTGTCTACTTGATAATGGGAGAATTATTCATCTTTATAATGTGAGAAAATTCACAAAAAGCCCATCTACATTTCCTAACATCTGTAGGGAAGAAGAGATGAAAATGGCACTTAGCTTCATGACCAATGACCAATGAAATGGCCTCAAATACCATGCCAGTAAAAATCTATTCACAAAAACTCCTTTTAAATTCACTGATTGTTTTGAAAGTCATTTATCATAGTGAAAATAAACAGAAATTACAATTAATAATAATCATGATACACCTGTACACTGTGGATGTCCAAACACATTTCCTCAAAAACTACAGCAATAAGGCATTCCTAACTGATTTGTTAGTAAATGAAAAACCACAGGTTCAGTGATTTTTTTTAATACCAACTTTTTAAATCTGAAAGTTTGAAAAACTTCATACTTACAGAAAAGATGAAAAAGTAATATAATGAACACCTGCATATATCTTTACCTGGGTTCAATACTTTATCACATATGGATATATTTCTCTTTCAGCACACATGACACATATACTTTTTTTTTTTTTTTTTGGTGCTGGGTATTGAACCCAGGGCCTTATGCATGCGAGGTAAGCACTCTACCAACTGAGCTATATCCCTAGCCCCTCCATGACTTCTTGAATATTGACACCTAAAAGCATGAACAACAAATGTAAAAATAGATAAGCTGGACTACACTAGATTTGAAATCTTTATGCATCAAAATATACAACAAAGTGAAAAGGCAACCTGAGATGGCAGGAAATATTTGCAAATCATACATGTAATAAGAATCCACAAAGAAATCAAAATCAGCAACAAAAACAAAACAAAAAACCTAATTTAAAAATGAGCAAAACATCTGAATAAACATCTCTCGGAGGAAGATATACAAATGACTGAAAACCATAGGAAGAGCAACATCACTAATTATCAGGGAAATATAAAACAAAACCACAATTACCTCATACCCATTAAAACAGCTACTATTAAAAAAAAAAGTGTTAGCAAAGATGTGGAGAAATCAGTACAAAAGAAATGTAAACTGGCTTACATTTGAACCATTACTATTATCATGCAAACCGGTATGTCAGTTCTTCAAAATATTAAAAACAGAAATAACATATGTTTCAGCAATACCATGCCTGGGTATATATATCCAAAAGAACTGAAAGCAAGCTCTCAAAAAGATATTTATTTGTATACCCATGTTTCTTAGCAGCATTATTCACAATAGCCAAGAAATGAAAATAACCCAGTGTCCATCAACAGATGACAAACAAAATATGATTTACAGTAGTCCCCCTTTATCTGCAGTTTATATTCCACATTTTCAGTCATCCACATCAACAACAGCCCAAAAATATTAAGTGAAAAATTCCAGAAATATACAGTTCATAAGTTTTACATTTCACACCATTCTGAGGGACATGATGAAAGCTTACAATGTCCTGGTCCACCCAGCCTGGACATACATTCCTTAGTCCGGCATATTCACACTGATATGCTACCTACCTTTTAGTCACTTATTAGCTATACTGGTTATCCTATGGACTGTAGTGGTCACTACAAGGGTCATTATGCTTAAGTAACCATTATTTATCTTAATGGCCCCATGCTAAGTAGTGATTCTGGCAACTTCAATATGTCAAAAATAGTCATAAAATGTTTCCTTGAGTACACTCATACATTGCTGGTGAAATTGCAAATTGGTGCAACCACTCTGGAAAGCAGTAGGGAGATTCCTCAGAAAACCTGGAAAGGAACCACCACTTGACCTAAAGGACTTAAATCAGCATACTATAATGGCATGGCCACATCAATGTTCATAGCAGCTCAATTCACAATAGCTAAGTTATGAAATCAACAAAGATGCCCTTCAATAGATGGATACAGAAAATATGCACATCCACACAATGGAATATTACTCAGACATAAAGAACAATGAGATTATGGCATTTTCTTGTAAATGGATGGAACTGGAGGCTATCATACTAAGTGAAATAAGCTAATACCAAAAAATCAAAAGCCAAATGTTTTCTGATATGCAGATGCTGACTCACAATAGGCTGGGGGTGGGGTAAGGTCAGAGGAGGAGTGGAGGTTCACCAATTTTGGGGGGGGTATGAGAACAGAAAAGACAGAATGAATCGGACATAACTTTCCTATGTTCATATACAAAAACACGTTAGTGTAACTCCACATCATATACAACCACAAGAGTGGGAAATTATACTCCATGTATGTATGATATGTCAAAATACATTCTACTCTCATGTATAACTAAAATTTTTAGAATAAAGAATATAAATTAATTAAAAACAAACAAAATGTTTCCTTTAGGTAAAAAGATAAAAGTACAAGAAGATATTTGAGAAGGAAACCATATTCACATAACTTTTATTACAGTATGTTGTTAAAATTGTTCTATTTTATTATTCACTATTTTTGTTAATCTCTTACTGTGCCTAATTTATAAAGTAAACTTTATCTTAAAAATGCATGTATAAGAAAAACATAGCACACACTGGGTTCAGTATGGTCTGCAGTTGCAGGTATCCACTGAGGGTTATAGGACATATTCTCCATAGATAAGAGGGGATTACTGTATTTATACAATGGAATATTATTCAGTTTTAAAAAGAAAGGAAATTCTAAGACGTGCTACAACACAGATGAACTTTGTGGACATTATACTAAACGAAATAAGCTAGTCACAAAAATAAATACTGCACAATTCCACTTATGTGGGGGCATCTAGAGAAGTCAAATTCATAGAAACAGAAAACAGAATGGTGGTTTCCAAGGGACATGGAGGAGAAATGAGAAGATACTGTTTAGTGAGCATAGTGTTTCAGTTCTTGAGATGGATAAAAGCCTGAAGACTGGTTACAGAACAATATAAATATCCTTAACAATACTGAAGCTGTATAATTAAATATGGTTAAGACTGTAAATTTTATGTTATATGTAGTTCACCGTAATTTTTAAAAAGACACTCTCAAGAGAGTAGAATGGGAGATAATTTTGCAAATTGCACATTAAAAAAGAAATAATATCATAGTATTATAAAGAGCTCTCAAAGTCAGTAAGAAAATAAACAATTCAATAAAAAATATGCAAGACTTAAATGACACTTCACCATGTAGTTCAGTAGGCAGAGCACCTCTGGGTTAAATCCCAGTACCACAAAAATTTTTTTTTAAAAAATTTACATATATATATATATATAAAATTGTATCCTTTAAACATGTGTATTTATATGTCAATTATACCTCAATAAATCTCTCCTAAAAAAAAACTCTATCAAAGAACAATTTAACTAACACGCTTTTCTCTTTAAACCATAGAATTCTTAAAGTTCTTTTCAGTTCAAAGCCTCTATAATTAAATGACATATAAAGGTTTAACAAAAGTATAGTCTGTCTTATAACCTTCATAGAGAAAGTAGAAAATGAGGATAAATTGCCAATAAGGATTTTCTACTATCATTTTTTAAAACATGAAGAATTTTACACAAAAAGAAAAAATATTTAGAGAGCATACATGATCCTTCAAATATAATGTTCATTAGTAACCCTCTCTAGTGAACTGAAAAGAATGTGAACAATGACTATTTCTCCAATTAGAGTAATGACATCAGATTTATTTCAAAAGTAATTCAATTTTCTTCCCAATGACTATAAGATTAAGAGTATAAATTCAGATATTTCAGTTCAAATTCAGCAAAAGTAGGGGTTCTTGTTTGCACTTACAATGTCTAATTAATTACACAAATAGAAAGGTTTGAATGGAGAGCCTACATCATACAATGTTCTCTGTCAATGGAAGGGAGTAGGGAAAGATTCAGAAAGCAGTGTGATGATAACAATCTTTTATGGCTCCCTTCATTCTATCTAGTTATGAATCTTAGCAAACAAAAATATGGCATATGACTCTGAAATAACCTGCTGTTAGAAAGAAAATGCTTTTCTGCCTAGCATAGTACTACACCAATAAATTCTCAAAATGCTGACTGAGTTGAACAGAAAAAAGCAAACTGGTCTGTGACAGCATTTGGTCAGGAGCTCAGGATTCTATTTCCAATTTGAATAACTTCATGCTGTGCAACATCGGTTAAGCCACTTTATTTCCATTTCCTCATTACTAAAACAAAAAGTTTGTGTGTGTGTGTGTGTGTGTGTGTATACATATACATATACCTACACACACACTAATTCTAGTTAGTAGATTAAGTGTAAAGGATAAAAAATCTTGTAGAAAGAAAAACAGCTCTGTATTCTAGCCAACTTGCCAATAACTCAATGTAAAAAGCTTTTAATAAGCAGTCTCTATCTCCTAGAAACTCAAATGCTTGAGAAACAAAAATTAGGTAAGTGGTTTAGTCTCCACTTAAAAGACTAACAAGAAAAAAAGTCCTGCCTTGAAGAACTGTTAAGTGCAGCTGATGAGACAACTAAAACACAATAAACCAGAACTACCAAATACAATGAATTTGGTACTAGGAGAAAGGAAAGTTCAAATGTAATGGAAGCACTCAGGAGGAAACATTACTGCTAGCTCGCCAGTTCAAGGAAGAGAATCTGTCATGTATATATAAAACTACGATTGAATACCAAGTATTCCACAGACAAGCAAAACACAAGAAATTGGAATTTTATGAAAGTCTAACTAACACTCTTAACACTCTCACTAAAATTATCATCAGTAACAACTAATTATACCTCAAAGTCAATCTTAGCAAAATCTTTTAAAAATAACATCAAGCAAACTTTTATAGTATATATAGATTAAATATTAGCAATTTAGCCAAGGTTGCTAGAATCATTTTGGTTTGTTCTCCACTTAAAGCATGGCATTTCAAAAAAGTATGCATGTAGAAAGGAAGGAACAGAATTGTTTTTTCCAGACTTCCTCGTGAATTACTTACAATGCTGATCACAATCAACTCTGGCAAACACTACTTGATTTTTATGTGGATATTCTTCCTTAATGACATCAGAAGCTTCCTCAAAAATTGGATGCAACATCTGGCTGAAACGACACCTATACACAGATAAGCACACCAATTAGAAGTGAAAAGCAGAAGTAATAAAATCTTACTTTGGTTATTACCTACTGATATTTAGTATATGTAAAATAAATAACTTTGTTAGACAATCATATTTATTTAATCACAGGTTCTAATATCATTCCGTGGAGATGAAGGCAATTTTGAATTCAAAAACTATACTCCAATTCAAATACTCTATGAATAATTGAAAGATTTTTAGTTTTTTCACCTTAAGATAACTGCCAGTATTAGGGAACTCACAGCTAAGAATCTAAGAATCTCTCACAGAAGCCATGAGATGTCTGTAATATTCCCTCTAAGATATATTCCTAGGATTTATAACAACTCAGGTTTGAGCATTTACGAAAGAAATTTGCTTTCTTTAAATAATGAACATATTTTTATACTACTGTACAAACTCTTACAAAAGTTTATTGCAAATATTATTCTAATCCACCTGGCTATCCTATCAAATCTCAGAGACAAGTTAGTATATTCATGTATATTCAATAAATAAGTTGTATTAGAGGATATATAGCATCTGATGAATCGTTTCCCCTCAAGATTTACCCCTTATTATGAATTTAGTATATCTGTAAAAACACTAAATGTATCAAGTCCCAAAGAAAATATTTTAAATTTCTCAAAGCCTTCATGTCCATTTTTCCTCTTCTTTCTTTTTGTTACTTTAAAAATGGGGGGGGGGGGCAAAGCCTATAAAATTCTAAAACTTCTTACTTCTAATTCTGACTATTCCTTAATCAGGCCAACCAGTTTCACAAATACATGCTGTAGGTCATTAAAAGGACTAAGAAGAAACAGAAGAGTCAGTATACAATACATTCAATCACTGGGTTAGAATGGACATTCTCATATGGAATTGAAGCTATGTTAACAAATTACAACAGCTACTACTGCTTCCAGAGCCCTTGTACAGCAAGAAATTTACTTAAGTGAAGCCTGTGAACTCTTTAATCTCTGTGTGATTATGTCATATATATTAGCTATAATCCAATAAAAATACTGTATAGAATATGAAATGATGCAAATATTATACCTCCTCCCTATTTCTTCTTGTATACATTTCTTCTAACCTACTCACCTGACTTCCTAAGGAGATGTCCTAAAATATATCAAGGATCTGTATCTTCAATCTCTTGCTTTCAAGTGGTTTTTTCCTCTTTTAGCATTCTTAAATCTCTCCCATCTGGGATAGGTGGAAAGGGTCTGTGGACATCATGGACCGGGTCTTATGGGACTACGTATTCTAATAAGCACTCAATAGATGTCTGTTAAATGAATAAGCTAATATAATGGAGGAACCAGAGAGGCTAGGACTCCAGGTTTGTGGGTTCTTACAACTGGCTGAAAATAGGATAAGTGGAGGGAAATGGGAAGAGAACACCAGGGACTGATTTAGTTTTTTAAGAAATTTGGATATGACCTAGTAAAGAAATAATGATCAGGCTTCTGGCTTAAGGGCAAAGTAAAGACTCACGTCCAGGGCTCCTTCTCTGTGGACTGTCCAGTTTCTGCCCAGCAAGTATTTAAGCACAGGTTCATGTTTAAAATTACATCAGTTTTAATACTAAAAGTCTAAAGGGGAAGGTGAAATAAAAGTTCATTTCCAATATTATTGTACCTTCATACACATCTACCCACATGGAAATATTACATTTATGAAAGTAACATCAAAAAAGCAATCAATCTATTGAAAGAGCCATAAGATCATCTGATCCCAATCTCCTATCTAGTGCTTAAATTAATCCTTAATAAATCAACCAAACAGGAAAATGTCTGCAAAGACACTTAGGGGCCACTTACTACTGTGCTCTACTTGGGGGGAAAATAAGCTTTGGAGTTAGACATACCTGAGTTAAATCCCAGTTCCACCACTTACTAAGCCGTATGACCTTTCTGAACCTCAACTTCCTCAACCTAAAATGGAAATTATAATACCTACCTGCAGGGCAATTCTGAGCATTAAAAACAACACAGATGAGTCTGGCACATAACAGCTTTATTAAGCACCTACTATGGTTTATTACTCTCTGAGGCATAGGAGTTATTTTTTAGGTAGCTCTATGAGAGAACTACTTCCAGAGAGAATCCAGAGTCTAGTTTTGAGACCACAGAGAATATGTCCATGTCCTACAGTCAATTATCCCACTTTTCTCAGTTGAATACAAGAATACTAATTCATTAACAGCTCAGGCATTCCTTAGGTAGAATGTTTTCCTAAGTAATTGAAATTAGTTCACATCTCCAATTCAGTTTTTGCAAAAGGTTGGTAGTATGTTCTATTTTTCTTAATGCAAACAAAATTCTTCAGCCAAGAGAATTGCGTTCTAGTTTTTCCTCTGCTGCAATCTAATCAGGTAACCCTGGGGAAATACTTTACTCCTCTGAATCTCACTTTTCTTATTTTTAAAGTAGACTTGCCTAGATAATCTTCTACCAAATTTTTTAACAAATATTATATCTGGCCTAATTTACCTTGGATTTTTTTTCTTTTTTTTTTACTTGGAATTGAACCAAGGGGCATTTTACTACTAAGCTACATCTCCAGTCCTTTTTATTTTTTGTTTTCATACAGAGCCTCATTAAGTTGCTAAGGGTTTAACCAAGTTGCTGAGCCTAGCCTCAAACTTGCAAACCTCCTGCCACAGCCTCTCAAGTTGCTGGGATTAGAGGTGTACGTCACTGCACCCAGAAGAAAACGCTATCTTTGTTATACATTTTATAAAGGATATTTTTTCTGTATATTTCCAACTTTTTACTAAAGTTCTTTAAATATCTATATCAAACATATGTTCATTCAGCATATTTATATGTACTTAGCCATGTAGTATGCAAAGTGCTTAGCAATTAATGTTGAAAAAAATATAGCTGTGGTAACTATTTCCTCAAAGCAGTGAATTATCAACTGGAGCACAGCCAAAAGTGCTTCCACTGGGTAAGATTGGGGTGTTATAGGAATTACACACATTCCCAAACTTAAAATGGAGTCATTTCCCAATAAACCTATCATAAGCTAAAATTATCCTAAATTGAAAAGCACCTAATATACCTATCTACCAAACATCATAGTTCAGCAACAAAGGGAGGGAACTGTAGAATATCAGCTGTTTACCCTTATGATCACACAACTGACTGGGAGCTTCAGCTTGTCACCACTGCCCACTATGAAGATCGAGTACAGTATCATGTACCAACAGGTCAGGAAAAGATCAAAATTCAAAGTATGGTTTTACTGAAAGTGTATCACTTTTGTATCATAATAAAGTAAAAAAAAAAAATCATAAGTCAAGTTATTGTAAAATGGGGAAATGTGTATAAGAAAGATTCCTAATCTGACTTGAGAGTAGGAGTAGGCATACTGATATAATGGCCTGAAGAAAATGGCACTTAAATTATTAAAAGATGTTAACACTTAACTAATTTAAAAAGTGGGTGAGAACAGAGAGTAATCTATCCAGGCAGAGGAAATATCATGAGTTCAGTGATGAAAGAATATAGAATTTCACAAGAATTTAAAGTTATGTATAACAAGCAGACTACGGGAGTGCAGAGAAGCAAGAGACACTGCTGTGGAGATAGGAAGCAGCCAAAATATGAGGGGCCTTTTAGGCCAAAGTAAGGGCTTAAACTTAACCAAAAGGTAATGGAAAACCACGTAAGAAGTTTAACATGGAGTGTAAACTAATCTAATTTGCACTGTAGAAAAGAACCCTGGCTTATATTAAAGAGAACAAAATATAAAAAGACATAAATGAGGAATGAGTGAGGAAACTGCTGCAGAAATCTAGATAAACTGCTGGACTGTAGCTAGCCCGAAGCAGGACAGTGGTAGCCTAGGCAGTAAGCCCTTAAAGGCAAATTACGCCAGTGTTTCAAACTTCTCTCTAGCTAAATCTTCCTGCTTCCTATTTTTACAACACATTCTTTAAAGTACTATATATCATGTCTTGGTTCTAGATTCTGGGAATACCAGTAAGACATAGCCTCTGCCATCAAAATCTGTTTGCAAAGGTACAAAGAGATAAAATAAGAGTAAACCTCATGCAAGCTAAGTATCTCCAATTTGAAAATTCAAAATCAAAATCAGAGGTGATGCTCAAACAGTTTCAGATTATGGAGTATTTCACACTTTGGATTTTCAGATAAGAGACATTCAACTGGGAAAGTCTATGCTAATATCTTAAAATTTTTTTAAAAAATCTAAAATCTGCAACACTTCTGGTCACAAACATTTTGGATTACAGATATTCAATTTCTAGTAAGAAAAAGGAAGTGGTCAGTGGTCTATAGGATACCACATAAACATAGAAGTCAGGATCCGATTCATATTAAGTAAAGGCTCCCTGCAAGGGGTGGCAGGTTGCATAAACTGAAAAATATCAACAATATTTTTTCTTCTAAACTTACCACACCTAAATTCTGATCTCTAGACTCTGCCCTCTTTCCACAGTCAGCACAGAACACTGCATTACTGTTTTTGTCATATGTTATCTCTTTTGAAGATTTGGCATAATGGAATCAGTTATATTTCTCTCTTAAAACAAATTCTTGCCAAATTAAGATATTTATATGTGGCTGAGCCTTAACTGATTTTGTAAATGAAATCCTATCTTGAAAAAAATAGAAGAAAGTTTTCCTATTCGTTACTCTCTATCACAGGAATAGTCACCTTCAGCAACAAAACAAAACAAAATATAAAAACAAGATTACTTACCAGTCTGCATAAAAATTTACTAAAGCAACATCAGCGTTGTCTGAAATTGAGAAACAAAACCAAAGTTATTTGTGTCTACACAATTCTGACAAAAAGATACGATTTTCATTATGGTCTTTCCCCTTTATAAAGGCCAACTAAAAATCCACACTAACAGTTAAGTTCTCTCTCACCCAGAAACTCATGCACAATCATGGATGGCTTCGATATAATTTGCCCCTTTTCTCTATATCCTCTACCCTCCACTTTCATTGCATCTTAAATGAATATAAAACAAAAAGGAAATCAAATCTAGATCAATCAAGTTAGCTACTGATTAGCCTACTCTCCTAAAGCAGAATGATCTGGATTCTAATGATCCATTTGTTGATTATCTATATTCAAGAATTACTGAGAACTAGTTCTGTAAGTAAAATCCTATTTCACAAGAGACCTGTATAACTAAGCTATTTCTAAATTTCAGATGTCCCATCTAGTAGCAACAAGTGACCTATAATAATTAACAATGTTGCACAAGGGGTACATTTTTGTGGTTCCTATCCATTGAACAGTTACTCACTGTTGTAAAAATAACTTACTACCATTTGCATATCAGGATGTAAAGACATGAGAAAGATATAGCACTGTTTCCTTTGCCTAAACCTAATTAGAGAAATTTAAATTCCCCAAACAGTAACAAAATTAAAACACAAAGGTATTCCAGAATTTGGAAGACCAAAGGTGTGAGAATGAAACATGAGTTTCAATTTCCTTTCCCTTTTTACCATAAAGCACGTTTTATCCACTTGTCTATTCAATCTAAAGCTGTGGTTCACAAACTGTAGTTCCTGAACCAGAAACACCATCATCACTTAGCAACTTACAGAAATGCAAATTTGGATGGGTCTAGCAGTTTCTAACAGAAATTGGGGTCATCAGAGCAGTACAGATGTTAATAAACCCTCCAGGTGATTCTGAAACCTGGTAAGTTTATAGAACTACTGCTCTTTAGATCCCAGAATATGGAAATAGACTTTTTTATCATTTAAAGTTCTAGGAACACAAAACAATGTATGATGCTCAATGAATGTTTTAATCCCTTTCACCACTAATTCATTAGATTTTGTGTGTTTTGGATGTTTAATTGCACATTTTCTTAAAGCCCCTAAATTGTGATCCTCTATTAACCATATCTTCACCTTCCCTTTATTATTCTTAAAAATCAGAAATGGTTTCTCTCAAGTTAATTTTATCCATAATCACAATGTCAAAAACCAACGCATTAAATAAAACCTTTATTGAACTTAACCCATGACACTGTAAGAGATCAGAATAGGTAACTTATTAAAAAAAAAAAATCTATGCTGTGTCCTAAAGACATTAACATGTAGTGCTGCATGGTGAGAACTACAAACCTCTAAACAGTTTCAGCGAAATACTTTGTTAAGAATGGCATCTACATCAAGACAAAGAAATAAAAAAGACTAAAAGCATTACTTGTAACACAAGAAAGAAGACTTACACTTTTAAAGAAATTTTACTAAAACTAAAAGGCAAAAGTGCTTTATTTAAAAAAAAAAAAATTCAATAAGCCATGGAATTAGAATGCCAGAGCTTCAACTATTCTAAGTAACTGAGATTTTGTTGTTTTTTTATATAAACTCTTCACAGAGAAGAAAATATACTTTTAAAATATTGATGTACTTACTTAAAATTTCATCTATATTCTCTGTGTCAAGACTTGTTATTTCAGTTGTTACAGGAGTAAAAACCCAAGTTACCTGAAAATTTAAAAAATGTGAAATTAATGTCTCCAAAAAATAGGCAAATAAAGCAGTTTTTAGAATTAATGAATATGCCCCACATTTCCCCCTCTAAGCCTGAAGGAGTCAGAGTAGTCATCGTCCATTTCCTTATACAGCAAAATAAGAATTCCCTTAATCAGAGGGGGTAATGAGACCAGGGCAAAAGACAGGTAGCTGATTATCAAAGAAAAGGAAATGGATATATAACACTCCCCATCACCCAGTTGCTAACTGCCTGGGGAGAAAGGAGAAGGATTACCCCCTGCAGCTCTCTGCCTGCCTTTTGGTCACCAGGTAGGCAAGATAAGAGGACTAAGGGGCATGAGAAGAAAGGAAAACTAAAATCTTAAGGGGCAAGATACCCCCACTCCCTCAGACACCAGCTCTGGGCTCCCTCCTGTCTGTCTCTCTCTCTCTGTTCTGTTTCTTAAATAATATTTACTTTTTGCTCTTGCAAAATAAAAAAAGAGAGAGAGAGATTGTAAACATATGGGGAAAATGAGTGGAGTAGAAAAAGGAGATAAAAGAACAGGGAGGAAGGACAGGAAAAGGGAGGAAATGCAGAGTAAACAACAAAATTACACTAAGTGCATGTATAAATACACCACAATGCATTCCTCGTTTGTGTATATCTATAAAGCACCAATAAAAAAATAAAAATTAATGAGTAAAATTGGATCCACGTGTTCCTTAGAAAATCATCAAATGATTTTAATCTTTATTAACTATTCTAACCCAACACTATATCAATGAAATATGAGAAATATTAATTTCTCCAGCCTAGAAACTGGTAAAATGAGAATTCCTGTACTTCTAAACACAGAAAAGAAATTGTTTCTAGACAATTGGGAAAACTGACATTTACTCACCCATTTAAATAAATACTTTCAACACCTTTATCTCTACAGCACACAAGAAAAAATTTGCCAGAGATTATCAGTTTTGAAAGTATTAATATAAAAGCAAAGCTGTTTGCTAACTCGATTCCATCATGTTTCTGAGAGCAAATTAATGAAGAACTGAGAAAAGACTTGCCATAATTATAAAGCAAAAGTTCTTCCTGCATTAGTTTCACTTAGTGATAATAAAAATGTATTAAGTAAGAGGCTATTAAATAGAGGAAAAGAATATTTTTGTTTTTACTTTGGTATCTGAAATCCAAAGTTCAAGAAAATCTTCACCTGCCATCTGTAAAACAAAGATAAATTTTAAGCTAAACCAGCAGATTTTTGCTTTTTAAAAAGTAATATTTATTCTTTTGTTTCATCTGTAGAAAACTGTATTTGCTACCCAGAAAGTTTTTTGTTCAAAACGGAATTTGGTATGGAAATTCATTCACTGAATCATTGCTTTTTACTGAGTGACAATCAATGACAGGATCTGATCAGAGTACTGAAAAGTATGGCCACCTATTTCACGGACACTTATAGTTCTCAATAGCAATGACTCAAAATTTTATAATTCACCAACAATTTAATCTAAATGATATATAGAGACACCTTTATACTAGCATATAAATAATCCCAGCTAATTTATATTTCTATAGACTCAATTCTTTTTTTTTTATTTAGGGGAAAACCTAAGGATAAAATGAAGGCTTATATTCAAGTTACCATAATGGTGTAGCCAATAATGGATGACCATGTTTGCCAGCACCGATAAATTATACTCTTCTAAAAGCTGAAGTGAGCCAGGCATGGTGACACATGCCTATAATCCCAGCAGCTTGGGAGGCTGAGACCCTAAGCAACTTAGTGAGACCATGTCTCTAAATAAAATATAAAAAAGGTCTGGGGATGTGGCCCAGGGGTTAAGTGCCTGGGTTCAACTCCCAGTACAAAAATAAAACAAAACTAACAAAAAACACCTAAGTGACTGTAATTGCCAAATAACTTGACTTTATACATAATTTTGTTATTTTTAATGCCTGAAAAAATAACTAGAAAGATGAGAAGTCCCTTACTAGTCATTATTATTGATGTGGTTCAGGACATGTTATATCACAATATCATACATGGGCATACAACAAACAGCAGAAGCGGAAAAGATCTCTCCTACCTTCTCCCCTGAATCAGGCCATAAAACAATTCTCTGACTTTCTAAAGTAGGTTATAAGACCCTCATGGAATAAATAACCTCCATAGAAGAAAAGAATATCCCCATCTCAGAAGATGCAAAGACACCAAGGACAATCTGACATTACCCATTAGATCATACATCCTTTTGTCCACACTTCTTTCTGCATGACTTTTTTCCATACTTCTTTCTACATAAATATCCATTCTTCATCAAAGGATAAGAATACAGTTTCCCTTGTTTCTTTAGGTCATCATTTCTGAATGATCTCACATCACACAAAACTGTATTAAGCCAGGTGCAGTGGCACACACCTATAACCCCACTACTAGGGAGGATAGGTGGGAGGATTGCAAGTTCAAGACAAGTCTGGGTAATTTAGCAAGATCCTATCTCAATTAAAAAAAAAAATTTTAAAGGCTGAGATGTATTTCAGTGGTAGAGGGCCACTGAGTACTGAGTTCAATTCCCAGTACTGGGGAAACAAAAAAAAGAAGGGGGGGCAGGGAACCTTACATCATTATTTTTTAAATAAATTTGCATACTTTTCTCTTGATAATCTGTCTTTTGATACAGGGATCTCAGGCATGAACCTAGAGATGGCTGAGGAAAGAAGTATTTTCTCCTCTATAATCACTCAACATCTTACTGATACTTCCCTTATAAATTTATGACCAACTCTCAATAACTGTGGAACCCAATTATATTGATACAGCAAGATTTTATAGTTATATGTTGGAGAAAAACTTAAGAAAACAGAAAAATATTATCACACAGCAATAAAGCTGGTCATTATCAAAGTCAAGTCATTAAATACCAGTATTTAAGAGTCTACTAGGTACTGAGGGCACTAAGGCATGGTATACTGTGCCTCCAGGAGCTATCAATCTAGTAACAGTGACACAGAGAGAAGCAAATGTAATAAATGCTAGATTACAGATATGGTGATGATTTTAATTTGTATAATCCAAGCGATCCTGAATCTGAAGAGTTTGTTATCACCTATTCAAATATAGGTTTGCAGAGAATTTACATTAACATACTAAAGTTAATTGCCTTTGACTTTGAAATATTTACATGGCAAGAATATTTTTACATGATAGGTAATGGCATAAATGAGGCAATGATCAACTTGGCTGCATTAAATAGACAACTATTACTTAATAGCACTGCACTAATAAATATGCCACTGATAAGACTGGCATTACGTTAACATCTGTGTTTGTAGAAGAGTCCAAAGCAAGGAAACTGTCTCTGACCCAAAAATCTCTCTTTCCCAAGGGAGGAAAGGAACCTTCTCTTATTATAATTAACATTTCTATTAATATGCAGTATGAAAGGAAAGACAGGTTGTTTATTTGAATTCTTAGCAAGCTCCACTAGTCTGACAAATTGTTTCTTTTCATGTCAGCCCTGGGCAGAAATAAGATTCTCCTAGGGAAACATCTTTATGTGTCAAACACTACAGGGCTTAAGTAAAATAAAGACAGTTAGCTGCAGGTCAGGAAGGGAGGATGGGAATCATTAATTTTTTTTTTTTTAAACTTAGATTGGAAGGAAACTTTTAATTTTTTTAAATAAACAAAAAGTTACAAGAAAATTCTTAATAATATTTCATCACTAGAGGTTATATTTTCCATGACTATTAAGATCTTCTATGAAGAATATAGGACAGACAACATATAAATATACAGATAGAAACATAGAAAGTATTTTACAACTTCGTCATTCTCTTCAGTTAATTAGCTTATTTTCTTGTTATAGAAAGCAGGGAGCAAGACAACTCCAATCATCCTCCACAATTCATTACATACTATCTCGAACATGCATTTACTGTACCAACTGTTAAACATCTCAGTCTGGGATATCTAGTGATCTTACATGTAGAAAGGCATACCAGTGAAATGGGTAATATTATACAAAAACTCATTTAAGAAACAGTGACAGACTAGCTTTAAATTGTAATTAATTTGTCAGCAAGTAAAAAATGTTTTCTTCCATTACACAGAAGGTTTTTAAAAACTGAGGTACCTATGAGAACTACAAAGCTTTCCTTAAACTTCCCGTAAAGGCCACCTAATTGGATGGTAATACCAGCCTAGTCCCATTTCCACAGTACTTTGAAGCCACCCATCAGACAGCTGCTTCTCCCAAAAAAAGCCCCACTTTTTTGCCTCCCTCTATTTGCATACATGGTCTGCTCTACCCAGAATATCTTCTTCTCCACTACTTCATGATTAGTCCTTCAAGGACTGAGTCGTTCTTCCATGAAGCTCTGGCTTTCCTGGTAGAAAATGGCTTTTCTTTCTCATTAGTCCAACCTGCTCCATGGGACGGGAAGAGAAAAGGGGAAAAAGCAAGCAAGGGAATGTGAGTTACTGATAAATTAAAATTTTCTCTAGATTAAGCTCAAATTGAAAAAAGATACCAATAATAAAGTTTATTACATGATAAAGCAAAGTATTTTAGAAATAAATTTCAGCAAGACTTTTTATTAAGCATTCTCTCAATTGCTACAATATTAACAATATACCCATGCTATAATACTATTACATATAAATATTCAGGTATTCATTGCTAAGCCCCAGTGCTGTTCCTCTATTAAAAATATCAACAATTGGGCTGGGGATGTGGCTCAAGCGGTAGCGCGCTCACCTGGCATGCGTGGGGCGCTGGGTTCGATCCTTAGCACCACATAAAAATAAAATAAAGATGTTGTATCCACCGAAAACTAAAAAATAAATATGATAAAATTCTCTCTCTCTCTCAAAAAGAAATTAACAATTAAACAAGGCAATAATCCAACAGAATTTTCTTCAGAATCATGAATTAACACCAATAATAATACACATGGAAATGAATTATTACAGTTTCTCTGTACGTAATTTAAAAAAACAAAT